CGAGGGGGGCGGGAGGAGCATGCGGGGGGCGGGGCGGGGGCAGCGGCCCAGCCGGGAAACACAGCAGCAGCACGAGGTTGGGGACCGAGGACTCCGGGGGGCTAAGTGCCTGGGCAGGGCTGGGCTTGACCCTGAGGGCAGCAGCGTCACAGAGCTACTACCCACCGGGGGAGGAAACGCAGAAATGACCAACGAGCACTTGGTCGGTGCGTCCAGGGCGCGAGAGCGTGGTTCGCGCCTGGGTGGCCAGGGTCGCTGTGACCCCGAGGCCAGCCCAGGGGGATCCCCTCCCCTCAGCTCAGGCGGGCGGAGCAGCCCCTGGGAGCCAGGCGCACCTGGGCCGCCGGCCTCACGGGGGTCTGCTGTCTGAGCGCCACCAAAGTCGCCGCCCCAGCCAAGCCGCTGCCCCCAGGCTGGCGGGCACGAGCCAGCCACCCACACACACTTCACGGGCGCCCACGGAGGCCAAGCACGTGCCACGGGGCCCGGGGGCTCATTGGGCCATGGCAGACGGGACATGCTCCAAGACAGCCGGGCGCTGAGTGAGGCGGCCGGGCCAGGCGCCGCCCGAGTACAGGCAGTGAAGGCCACGGGGGAGAGGAAAGCGACGGAGATGGCGTTTTACCTTGGGGGAGCCATTTAACCCCTCTGAGCGCCTGCTTCCTCATCTGTAAGATGGGGGAAATACTGCCTGCCCCAGAGGGTCGCTCGCTGTGAGGGTCAAATCGGAGAAGACGATACACATCAGTGGCCGGCACGGGGGCCTGCTCAGAGCAGGAGACTCAGCCGTCCTCGCTGGCCCCGGATCTCGCGGGGAGCGCCCGCTCCGAGCCCAGGCCCGGCCGTGGAAAGCCCGCAGGGAGCCGGGGGAGGGACGTGCGCGCACACTCACGGGGGCGTGAGGAGCAGGCGGAGGCCGCCACCGCCCTCCCCACGCCAAGGCAATCCCGGCGCAAGCGCGGGTGGCGAGGGCCGGGACCCACCTCCTTTCTGCACCCCCCACCTCGGCCCACGCCCTGCAAAGGCCGGCGAAGCTGGGGCTCAAGCGCAGCCGCCCTCACCAGCTGTGTGACCTGCCGCTCCGAGCCTCGGGCTCCTGGTCGGTGTCAGGAACCGCGGCCCACCTCACGGGCGTGGCGGGGGAGGGGACCCGTCCAAAGTCACATACACCCAACGCCCGACAAGCGGTCGGTGCCAGGGGAAAGCGGCAGAGCGCCCTCCTGCCCGCCCCACACCTGCCTGCGTCCAGTACGCCCCCGGGGGAAGCTCACCTTGACAACGGGCGGCGTGGGAGGGACCACGGGGATGATGGGCGTCGCGGGAGGGGGCGGGGCGGCAGCCGGGGGGGCAGGGGCCGGCGGGGCGTTTGCAGTGATGGTTGGCACAGGGGTGGCAGCAAAACGGGCGGCGTGGGAGGGACCACGGGGATGATGGGCGTCGCGGGAGGGGGCGGGGCGGCAGCCGGGGGGGCAGGGGCCGACGTGACGTTTGCAGTGATGGTTGGCACAGGGGTGGCAGCAATGACGGGCGTCTGGGAGACCGTGGGGGGGACGCTCTGGAAGGGGGTTGCCGGGGAGACAGAGGACACGGCCGCCATTTGCTGCGTACCTTGAGGACAAAGGAAAGGAGGCTGAACTGACCCGGCTCTACCAGCGATGCTTCTGGACGCTGCAGGGACCATCCCCTCCAGCCAGGGCCCGCCGGGTGCCAGCAGAGCCCCTCCTGCCGAGACCCTGGCCCTCATCGTGGCTGCCTCCGTGGTCCGAATGAGCGAGCCAGGACAAGGTGCACAGCCCGGTAAGGAAGAGCCAGGGGGTTGACTCGGGTTCCACAGGTAACCAGCCTCAGCCCCGTCTGTAAGTATGAAACACCCTGGCCTCTCTGGAGGGCTGGGCCGCCCAGGAAGCTCACCATCGGGGTGCACCTCTGCTCCAGGTTCCCGGACCAGGTAAGGTCACCCCCCGTGCTGACCCTAATCCCCACCGCTCCCTGACAGGCCACAGAGAACACAAAGCATGCTGAAGAGGCAAATTCCTCGGAGGGGACAAAGGGACAGCGTGGCTTCCAGAAGAGGTGTCCTCAGAGCTGAGGGGTGAGGGGCGTGGGAGAGGAGCCGCGCGGGGACACAGCAGGAGCACGATCCCTGCCCGGAGCGAGGTTCCAAGGCAGGCGGCAGCAAGGTCACCAGGCCTGCAGGCCACACACAGCAGAGGCCCGGTTCCCGGAGCTCCGATCATCACTGACCCAACCTTGCAGATTGGGTCAGGAAAACTGAGCCCAGAGGGGCGGAGGGACCCTCAGAAGATACGCTGTCATAGGCACCCTGCCCACCTGCCAGAGGTGGCGAGAAGGACTGCACGATCCACCCCTTTACCTGCACTCTGGGTTCCCGAAGCTGGTTTCCGGCCTTTGCCCTTTGGAGCAGGGGGTAATAACTCAACTTCCTCCTGGGGCATCTGGGCCACTTTCTGCAGAAAAATTTTCTCTAAGGCTTGGGCCATGAGCACTATGTCATCTGTGGGCTGAAGACACAGGAGAGGCAAGGTTACCTGCTGGAAAGGAGCCGTGTGTCTGCAGCAGACAAACACATGGTGGTTGCTCAAGAAAAACATGTATTTAGCAATCTGTGAAGGGATGTGGCGGGGCAGGAGGGAGGCAAAAAGAACATATTTTAACGTGGAAACTCTTGGAAGAATTTAAAAAACACAAAGGATAAAAACCACCCTTTATCCCATCCCACGGAGGAAAAAAGGTCCAAGGGTGTGGACGTTTTAAAGCGTCTGGTATATATCGACGCCCTCCGAAAAGGCTGTTCTAATGTTCCCTCCTGGGAGCAGGGGACAGGGCCGGGGGCCGGGGTGGGGGGGAGGGCGGTCCACACACAAGGCAACCGCTCAAACGCGTAGCCTGTGGGACCCACACAAGGGGATCACGGCCAGACAAGGGCTGAGCGCGAGGCTGGGATGCACCCTGGGCCTGTCTGAGAGCTGCTGCAAAGCGCCCAGCCCAGCCTGGCGGGCACCGGCCAACCCCAGGCTGGCCCTCCACCCCAGGCCTCCCCGGGCCAGGGGCAGCTCATAGGGGCGTGTAGGGCCCACGCCACACCATTTTCTTACCTTGTTATAAATATAACAATTTGTAAACATGGTGTTGAAGTCCTGCATACATTCACTCGCGCTCCAATAATAATTATTCTCCAGTCTCTTCTTAATAGTCCCCATATCCATTGGGTTTTTTATTATCTTATGATAATCCTAAGAAAGAGATTTTCAGGGGTGTTACTGTTGGATTCAAATTCGTGACGACTTTCGCGACTCCCAAGCACAGAGATTGTGCAGGAGGCAGTCTCCTCAGGGATCTGGGTACTGGGGCTGGACCCAAGTTTCTGTTCACCTGAGGGCAGGTGGGCGTGAGGTCTGGGGCGAGCGCTCGGCCAGCATAATCCCTGCCAAGCCTCTGGCCTAAGCAGGGTTCTGTGTGGACGCACAGACCCGCAGGGCTGGGGCAGGGCCCAGAGCTGTTCTAGGCTCCGGAGGTGGGGATGAGACCCCTCCCCAGATTCCAAACTTCACTTGGGGGCCCGCAGTGCCCGGAAGCCAAGCTGGCCCAGGACCCAGGCCGCCAAGTGCTAGCCCAGGGCTTCCCCTCGCAGGACTCAGGGGCTCTCTATTCGGGTCCAAAAGAGAAAGCCGTCAGATGGTTAGGTCGGCACCGGGCGTGCAGCTAAGGCACTATCCCTGGGAAAGTGGGCCGCACCCCTCTCGAGCACAGGGTTTCAGGTGTGCACGCGTCATTCCGCAGGACAGTGCCGGGCACAGGATGAAGACACAGGTGAGCCTCCAGGCCTGAGCCCCATGGCCGGCTCCCCCTTCATCCCCCCACAGGCCAAGGGTTCTCCCCACTTCCTGCACCTGGGCAGCCGCCCTCCATTCCCCCACTCGCCTAAGTATCCCCTCTGCTCCTTGGTCATTGTGGGTCCTGAGCTGTGCCTGGCTTATCAGGACCAGCCGCCTCCAGGCACCATCTCTGCCAAGGCCAGGGGGGCCGTCCTCCCAGGAGTCGGGGCCGCGGAGGGGCAGGGCCGGCGGGTAGGGGGCCACTCACGGGCAGGTTCAGCTTGATGGCATCCACGGGCTGGTAGAAGGGCCAAGCGAACTGGTGTTTCCAGAGCGTCTTCACCACCACGTTCTGCATGTATTGCAGCTGGTTGGTCTTACGGCCGGGCTTGGCGGGGTTGGAGACCTCCGGCGGGGGCGGGTTCACGGGGCCCGGGACCGCCGGGATCCCCGCAGGGGCGACTGTCGTCGTGGTGGACATCCTCCGGCTGCTCGCTCACTGGCCGTCACGGCAGCAGCTCGGCGAGGCCCTGGCTTCCTCTGTGCTCCCCACCGAGGTGCGACATCCCATGTCTGGGCCCAGTCAGGCAGCACCTGCGGGGGAGGAGGGACGGCAGGGAACGGCCGGTCACCCCAGGCCCCGTCGCCTCGCCTGGGTCCCCGAGCACAGCCGTGCGGTCATGTGAGGCCACATCGGCGCACTCCCCGCGGTCAGTCCAACCCTCACCTGTCAGAGAACCACTCTCCCACTGCTGCCCTCAGGCTGGGGCAGGGAGAGACACAGGTGACGGGAAAGAATGCCAGCAGGTGCCACCTGGGCAGGCGGGGAGGCAGCCGTCCAGGTGGGGGCCACTGTCGGCTCACTGCCCACCAGCCGCCTGCTGCTCTTGACCGTGGCAACATTTTAGGGAATGATCCGCACGTAGAGAGCTACGACGTGGACCGGCACAACGTGCGTGGAACCACGCGTGGCACACGGAGCCAGGGCCCTCTGAGTGAGGCCACCGATGGAGGTTCTAACGTAACCATGAGAACGGGCTCTGGTTTGTGATGGTGGCTGGGCTGTGGACACGGCCGGCCCTCGGCCAGTCGGGGTGGGGGTAGAGGGAGAAGGCGACGGGAGCCTGCAGCCTCAGCGAGTGAGGGGCTGCAGGACCACACCCCGACTCTCGGAATGTTCTCTGAGTGTGGAGCTGGGAAGGAAGCGGCCGCCGCTGCCCGACGTGTGTCACCAGGAGACCAACTAGCACCAAGCAAAATGTTGTGCAGTAAAGGATGAAGGGGCTGCCCCCAATATCAAAACCCCACCACGTCTTGGGAGGAAGCCGGTGGCCCCAATGTCACTTGAGGACGCAAAACGCGCTGGGGACTGTATACGAAATCTGGACCCGGGCTGCATCTGTGCACGCTGCTACCCCGTAGGTGTTTATGTGCACCTGTCACGGGATTGAGCCGGGTTGGGCTGGGTGGCAGGCCCCGCCTGGGGGCCAGCCTTCGGGGAGGACAGAGCAGCGCGTGTCAGCCGCTGGAAACATGCTCTCTATGATGTGAGAAAGCAGATCGTTAAAACTTGGGAGCGTTTTCGAGCTGGCTGGCGGACGTCCTGCCGGCAGCCTGCTCTGCCACGTGGGCGTGTTTACACCACGGTCATCAGCACGAGGTACAGACCAGGGCCCCCCCATGCCAGCCTGTTAAACCCCAGCCAGTGCCTCCTCAGCGCCCCCCGACCAAGAGGGAAGACTCAGAACAGACGCCGCGCACACCTGGCCACCGAGCTAACCTGCCCCGCTTGCCCGCCCTTCCTCGGAGGAACGCTCTGGAGCACCCCTAGGGGCCCACCCGCCCGCCATCCTGGGGGCCTGCAGCTCCCCTCCTCCACACTCTCCTCGGGTGAGCAGGTGCCTCTCACGCGCCCCCATCTCGCCAACCCGGGGCAGCGCCCTGGCCCCCAGGGCAGCTCCGTACAGAGGGCGGCTGTGCCCGCCGGGCTGGCGGCGCTGAGGCTGCAACACATCACCAGATGGAAAGGCGCCCGAGTGCTCACCCTGGAGCCCCACCCCCAGCAGGTCTGACACCTTCTGGCCCAGCACCACCGCCTCCTGCTGGAGTCTCTGCGAACCTCCCACGGGCCTGCCCTCCCCTCGACGGCCTTGCCCTACACGGGGCTCCTGTCCAAACCGGCACTGCCTGTCCCGCTCTGGCCGGTGACTCGTCTCCCTGTCCTGGCTGCCGTGGCTGCGCAGGCCCGCACCCTCCCTCCTCCTCCTCTGGCTCCTCTGCCCCAATGCCACCACCTGCCAGGGCCTCCCGGACCATCCCGGACCCCGGGCAGCTCAGGGGTGCAGAGCAGATGCCGGGGCCAGGCTCCTGTTCGCGATCCCAGCTCTGCCCTTCGCCAGCCATGGGATCTGGTCCCCGTGTCCCCACAGGCTCTGTGAGACTAAAGGGATCCAACACAGAGCGCTCAGGTCGGTGCTGGACACGTACCAATCGCTGCACGGCCCCGCCGGGACGGCTGAGGCGGCTCCCTACGTGGGGGGACCCGGGATCCGTGAGGGAAGGATGCACCCTGTTCCTGCCACCCCCCAACCCTGGGCCTAGATGCCGGCCCGGTGCACTGCGAGCCGCCAGGTGTGGGGCAGGTGGGCAGATGTCCAGTACCTGGCGCTGCTGCTGCTGCACGGTCCAGGGAGCAGGGAACGGGCGGGACACAGCACACCAGCCTCCTCCGAGCACAAGGACAGACGGACACAGCTCTGCAGGGATGTGCTGGGGCTGCCATCAGGACCCTCGGCCTGGCCTCTGCCCTGCCTCCCTCTTCTGACCAATCACCAACTACCCCACACCCATGACTGAGCAGGAAGCTGGCCCCCGCAGCAAACACAGGACACATCCCCATCGTGGGGTGAGCACCCAGCGGCTGCAAGGCAGAGCCGGGTGGCGGGGGGGTGTCCCAGACTGCATGGCTAAGCTCTGAGCCCAGGGCCTGGCCCGGCACACGCTAACCGAATGCCAGCGTTCACCCCAGGCCACAGGGAGTCCCGAGGTGTGGAAACACTTGGGACCCCAGCAGGGTCTGTGAGGTCTAGAGGTGACACATGCAAAAGGTGCTGGATGCCCCACGGCCTGGGGGACGGCACGTGGCAATGGGACCTCCCCTTCTCTGCAAACAGGAATGTTGCCCCCAGCACCTCCACTGGAATGAGGCGGGGGGCCCCCCATGCACTCAAAGCCCTGCAGGAACGTGCAGATGACCGCAGGGGTCGCAGTGTCCCCCGTCAGGTGGTGCCACATAGCACCCCCCACGGCGGAGGCAGGTGCCTGGCTTGTCCTCTGTCCCCGGCAGCCTGGGCACCAGCTCAACAGGGAGGAAGGAAGGAAGGGCAGCTAGAGCGTGAGAGGTTGGGGGGCACCCCCCTCTCCAAGCCCCTTCCATCCCAGGAGCCAGGATCCATCTCCTGGGAAGGGCTGCGTGGCTGAGGAGATTGGCAAGGGACAGCTGGGGCGCCTGGGCATGACCCTCTCCGGTGGGACATACAATCACACAGGTCACCCCGCGCTGTCCCCTCTGGGGTGGCGGGTGGAGTAAAGGGGCCACGCAGCTCCCCGCTGGGGCACAGCCTTCACTCCTTCACACAGAGCCCAGACCTCAGGGCCGGCACATCCGGGGTGAGCGGAGCCACAGCGAGAGCCTGGCCTTGCCTCTCCCGCAACCCCGCAGACCCGACAGCGACCCCGGCTGAGCGTGGACGGGAATTGCAGAAGGCCACACTCCGCCTCAGGACGTCCCCACGAGGGGCAGGAAGATGATGCAGGTCCCCAGCACCCAGGACCTCACACCCACAGCATACGGGCCCCAAGGCTGCTTTCTCCCTCTCTGCTGGCGGTTCCAGACCAGTGGAATTTTTTTTTTCTTTTTAAGAACGTGTTACTTCTGCAAAAAGAAAAAAGTGTAAAGGGATTTCTCTTTTGGAAAAATGTACAAACATGGCCAAGCATCTCAGAGCTCGTTTCCCTTCCTCTGGGGCCTGGGGACACTGCCCCAGAGTCTGGGGACAGGCCAGGCAGCCCCGTGTGCTCCGTCCAGGGGAAATCCGGGGGCCGCGACAACCCCGAAGTCTTGGCTGGACCTCGGCAGGGCCACCAGTGGGAGGCGCGGTCGGCCACCCCCGTGTCACCCGGAGGGCCGAGAAATCCCCCCAGCGCCCACCTGTTGGGGCAGCAGAGGGACGAGGATGAATGCCAAGGGTGCCGCCCAGCTCCCCGCCGCCAGCAGCTGTGCTGTCCGTCAGCCTCCCGGTCTGGGCGGGGGTCAGGGCCACATTCTGAGACGGGAAGGCACAGGCTGCTTCCAGAGAGAAGCTGGAACTTAAACAGTCTACCAGCTGACCCTCTCACAGGGCTCAGCCCTGAACCGACATCAGTAATGGACAAGAGGTGTGGAGGGACATGGGGGTTTGAAACAACAGGAAGGGGAGACTGCGGCGGAGTCCCCCACTACCCGCGCCCAGGGTCCCCCGGCCGCACAGGAGCAGACTCTCACCATGCTCCTCGGACAAGCACCAAGAAATGCACTGGGTGGTTGGCCACGGCCAGGAGCCCTGCAAACCTCTGCTGAGGGTGAGACACCACGTGATCCTATGAGGTCAATGACCAGGCCCATCGCACAGATGACAAAGCTGAGCCTCCTCCATCACTGGGCCACTTCCTGAGCCTGCCCACATGGAGATTCGGGGACATAAGCCCAGGACCCCGTGCTTCCCCGACCTGGCTCCTGGCATCATGGGTGACACAGGGTGAGAGGAGGAGCCAGGCAGCTAAGGAACCAGATGACCCCACTGCAACCAACGACAAGGCCACCCGGCAAGCCCTGGGGGCAGGCACAGGCCAGCAGTGCCCCTCCAAGTCCCTGGCCTGATCCTAACTTCCGGCCAGAGATGCAAAGAGGGCCCCAGACACGAGGACCACGCAGAAGGGCAGCGGGGAGTGCCCACTTGGGCCTGCCACACCGCGGTTCAAATCCCAGCACCCCTCCTGGCTGAGCCCCAGCAGCATGGCCATCAGCTGTCTAGTGCCCCCCAATGCAGCCCCACGGATGGAGGCATGGCTCCCCACCCACAAGGACGTGGGAGGCCAGGGACATCATGGAGAGTGGTTAGAGAGCTGGGTGACACTGGCCCCTCGGGTGGAAAAAAGGAGGTGCCCGTGGTTCCCAAGCCACGCAGGAAGGGGCCACAGCAAAGGGACAGGGCCCAAGGGTCCCTGGATACCCACCTCTGCGTGCCATGAAGACACCACGAGGTTACACTTGGGATGGACCCAGCCTATGCAATGGGATGGACCCGTTTAAAACACAAACACAGCTTCCCACTTCTCCCAGCCGCCACATCCCGGTGCACCAGGATCAACCCATCACTACCCTCCCGACCCCACGTGGTCCTGGCAGGGAACCACAGGTCACCCAGCTGAGCCGCCCTGGCC